GAGACTATGTATATAAATTTGTGAGAATATATGCACAATCAACCTGGGTGATAAATACAAATATGCTGCCAACTTGTAAACTGCAGCGATAAAATAATAATATGCAATCGACCGCCATTGGCAACCATTTGATGAAGGATAATTCTGCTGATTGGTAGGATTTAACATATTGCTTTTGCTTCTACAAAAGGTCTATTACTTTATTGTGAACGTACAAGCACTTATACCTGTATTTTCCTTGCCTTGCTTACATCCGCACGCCAAGTGTATGGTTCAGTTCTATCCAGCATCTGAGCTAGTGATAAGCATGAAATATTTATTGAAAATGGTCGTGCTGCCCTCAAGGGTACCCTTGTCAATGTTGACCACTGCTGAACATAGTTATATACTCGTATATATATGGTACATTTGTACATTTTTATATATTTACAAGTACAGGTGAATATAAATATGCTTTCACATACAAATTTATGCAACATTTATTTTGTTTGCGCTGAGCCACACTTGAAAAGCGATTAATTTTCATTAATAGTTAAAAAGGTTGCCACAAGGACTTAGTGGCTTTCGGGCGGACTGACCCTGTGGGTGTTACTTTGGCTGTTTTCTACTGCAATATGTAAGTATGCATATTCATGCCGGTAGTATGTATAATATGTTTGTACATATCGTTCAGCTCATTTTATAATAAATAAGTAGAAAGTTATTTTAATCCTTTTGGATTAGTGTGTTTGTTGCAGCTCCTTTCTTCCCGCTTTTTATGAAGCAATTTTTCACATTTTAATTTTGTTTTATGTGAATTTTTCGCATCTCAGGTGCTTTACTCTGCTTTATTTATATTTTTTTAAACAATTTTGCAATTTATTTTATACCTCAAGAATTTTTTGTTTCTCCGTACTATACGATATTTGGTTTATATAGAAAATAACATTTTGTTGCCCGAAGTATTTTTTGTCTTTGGTTTGCGAAAACCAGACGAGGATTTATGTAAATATAACCGCAATGTAGGAACGTTGCAGAGCAAATATTCACCCCTTATCCATTTAATTTTATATCTGCGTTGGTATCTGCCAGTTGTTCTTATTTCTTTCACCTGAAGAAGGATTTGGGATTCATTCACTTTTAATATTCGTCAGTAAAAAAGGAAAATTATTGGCGCTGAAACTGCTGAATACTGTTTTCCTTAGGTAATTTTTCTTCCTTTTAACAAACTTAAGATGAATTTTTTTATACTTGACTAGCAGTTAAAGTTTTTAATATTCATTCCTGGTCAAGATAAAAAGTATTTGCTGAATGCTAGATTGTCGAATGTATTCAAGGTTTTTAGCACTAATTTAACATTATTAATACCACAAATGTTCAAAAACACTTTTCAATTTTTTCATACCACATATCTCTGAATAAGATGTCCACATAATTCAGTATTTTTCTTCTTCGGATAATCTACCAGAGAAATATCGGACATTGGCATAATATATACACCGCTGTCTCTTTTTCTTCTAGCCATAGTCTGCAAGTGTCTTCCTCAACAAGAGTTATTTTTTTTGAAGTGGTACTTGAAGTTTCCATGTTCCGTAATCAATGAGGTTACCCAGCTTAGGGTGCTCCGTGGATAGCTAAGCACTTTTATCTCTTCCCTGACCAAAGGTTTCGGCATCATGAGTTTAGTCTGTCTACAAGTGCTCATCCCTTTTCATCTGTTAAGATGAAATGAAGTTATCCAGTTATCGATATAGGCTACAGTCATGTTATAGCCCAATAGTGTTCTGGGCTGTGCAAGTTCATCAATACCGATATATCCTTTAACCTACATGACTTGTCACTCATTTTCATTAGCACATTCCATGAGCTTCATGACACCTGCTTGTACTAAGCTGTTGTCTATTAATCAGTATATAACTTATATGTAAATAATATGAAAAAATTAAAAAGAAATTAATTTCTATGCATTATATGTATTTCACAGTACATATTTTGATGTTTGCAATTTGAAAAATTACCAGAACCATTCTATATCTTTGAAATAATTACTAGTAATTTAATAATTTTACTTTGCTTATAATGTTACAATCAACCAGTGACATATTTTTAAATAATCAAATCTAAATTAATATCAGTTACCTCGATTAAGTAATTAATGAGGAAAATTGTCGTGACCTGACCACCGCAGCCCAAAACATATTTTATCTCAACCGCGATTCAAATGACACAAGTTAATGGGCTGCAGTATTTCTGCGGTAAATGCAGCGTAACCACAATAGTTTTTACCCTACGTTTCGACATGACATAAAGAAAAAAAAAACAAGTGATGTTTTATAAAACGATGTGATGTTTTACAAACATTAAACGCTGTTTTGTTAATAATTAATGATAACACAGCAGCAATAAAATTCCTTTGAATGGCAAGAGGAACGAGGCACGTGGTGTGTGCTTTCAAGAGGGTGTCCTATATTAAAATCATGAAGTAGCAGAAAAAACCAAAATATTAAAAACAAAATTACTACAATTATCTTTTCAATTAATTTTTCGGAATATTTTAATTTTTATTGTTTATGCCAATTATAGGTCAGGACAACTTCACTGTGTGATTTAAGACCGCAGAACACGCAAATAATTTACACTGCCAAGTCCTTCAACCATCGTACAAATTATGATTTTTATTTTATTTTGTATATGTTTTTTTTTATTTTTAAATTTTTTTAACATATGAATTATTAAAATTAAAATTTTATATATTAAAACCGCATGAAATATACTTCTTGGTTTGCAAGCAGCAACAAACCACTTCACAACTTAATTTTCAACCTTTTTCAGTATGAAAATCACTCGAAAAAGTGCTAAAACTAAAATATTCATTTCAGCTGTTTAAATAAAAATTGTTGGCAATACAACGTCACCGCAGTTTTAATGAAAATGAAAATGCAAATGAAAATTTTATGACAAATTAATTTAATGCATTTCCATTTAACAAAAAGCATTCGAAATTAATTTTGTGACTTGCACTTGAGAGTTTTGAAATTTAAATTAAGTGTTTTAAATGTTAACACAGAAAACATAAACACAAAACGTCAATGGCAATTCCCATTCTTGCCAATGAAGGTAAAAGGTAAAATGTCAAAACCTCAAGTCTACAAAGGACTCATTAATTCTAATGGATTTGTAAAAGAATCTCACATTTCAACTGCACTAACCAGACATTTTCGTGTTCCTTTGAAAAGTCTGCATTTTATTTTTCCATTCAAAACTCTGATCCTTAATTACATTTCTTCAGTGAATGCGCAGTTAATTACCTCTAATAAATGACCACTGGTATTAGTTTAATTACGAGAGACCAATGCCAAAAATGCAAATATAAAAGATTTTTTTTAATATATTTTACACTTGAATGGTTCCTTATTAAAAAAAAAATTAATTTATTCTAATAAGACTGGAATGTTTGCTTAAAAATATATTAAAAAAAAAACTTATCAGACGAATATTCATCGTTTCTATAAAAATTATTTAGAGTTTAAAATTTTAAAAATTTTTCCATCTTCAATTTCGTAAATACGATAAAAGAGTGTAATGCGCCCTTTATGATTCCGAGTTCCTTGAGATCGCTGCCCTTAACTAACAGTAGAACAGCCTTATTAATTAACATTTTGGACTACGAAAGATAATTTGCTCTAGCAATAACAGTTCCCTGCAATTAGATAAGAAAACTACGTGATGAAAATGTACCATAAATAAGATATTGGCATAAATTAGCTCCTACGTCGGTGGCATTCATTTTATGTTTTTTCTATTAGTATATATTTCTCTCGACCTGATCAATGTAAATATGTGATATCAGTGTTTTTATTTCAACTTTGCCTAAGACGGACGTCATAATTTTCTTTATTACTCTGTGTTGTTTGCCGAGAGCACATTTTTTGATGTCTCCACAAAGCCGCTTTAGTTAGATTAAGTTCCAAACATTAAAACTATGAGGAAAGTTAAGAATAGCACTTAATTATTAATTATAAATGTCCTTGGAATGCAACCTAATCGCTATTAAAAATACAAAATCTATAAAATTTGCATTTTAATTGTTTGTTTTTTAAATTATTAGTATTATTATTATTACTATTATGGCATGCCATGCACAATATTTGATTGTATAAACTTATCCTATTCACAAAGAGTTTATACAAAAGTTCTCCAATTTTGCCTATTTCGAGCAATATATCTCATTCGTTTCGATTTATCGTTTTATTCCTTTCATTATTTATGGTTCTACGCCACGGGTTCTACTTCCTTGAGGATTCCAGGTTAGTGTCGCATGTGCTACGTCATTTGTGCTTTTGGGTAGCGTGTGTTTTTTACATAAATTTCAATAAATACATGTTATTTCTACCATTATGGAGGGATACTACTATATCCCAATATGTGGTAGAACTCTTTGTATGTAATTTCTATTAAAATTACGAAAAGTTCAGTAATTAACATAATTATGTCCTTTTATAATTTCATCATAGTATCTTTTAGAATATATTCTTCAATTTATTTCATTGAAAATTCTACTTTATTTGTATCAGACCTTTCGACTGTTAATTATTTGATTTCTGTAATAGTTTATTAAATTAAAGCTCAAAAGAAAACAAACTGTAAGTTTTCTACATTTTTTAATGACTACTCTGTGCTACTTCCCTAGTTTGACGAGTCTAATTTGGAATTTCAATTAAGCACCGCTTCCTGTTGGTAAAAGCAAAAACGAACTGAAGAAGTTCATAGCATGGAATAAAAATACATTACAGATGGAAAAAAAATGATTAGAAAAAAAAACTTTTACATTCGTTGCTAATGGATCCATGACAACCTGAAATAGCTAGTTCACCAAACTTACCAAATACAATAATGCATATTTCAAAAACATTCAAACACCTCCCCTCCGTATTCCCTTCTTGCCTGACACTCTATTTTACTCAAGCTTGCTTTACTAACGAAATTCATATGTAACAGAAATTTAATTTTGAACTTTTCAATTTTCAATTTACACACAGATACTGCTCTATCCGGAAGAGGGTTGGGCGCGCACAGCATCATCCAGTTATTGGACCATCACTCCATGTTGGTGGCAACCGAATCGCTGTCGCATTGAAGAGTTTGCGGGAACACAACGACATTCGACTAAAGCTAAAATGGTGCCACTCGAACAGAAAGGCTCACTACTGATTGCAGGCAATTTTCGCAGTAACAACAGCAAAAACAGCCCCAACAGCACCAACAACACAAGCCATACCAACAGCAACAACAGCAACAACAGCAACCACAACAGCAGCAATGGCAGCAGAAATAGCAACAGAAAAGACAAAGATACGGACGAATTTAAATTATATTTGAGTTCGAACATTTCGATGGAAGACTACAACATGGGCTACTGTCTGACTGGCTTTGTGGAGCGACGTTGCCAACAGACCAACACATTCCAAATGACACACTTTGCCGTTATCAAAAGGCAATGGCCGTCCATAAGTAGCAGCGATGCAAAGTCAACGTAATTATAGTGCTAAAATGATAAAATTAATTATTTATAACATAGTTTGATAGAGTTAAGAGCAAATGCTGAAATCTGCAGATAGAATAGAAGTTAAAATTAAAAATGTTGATTGCAAACTTTTAGGCGTTCAAAAAACAAAATATCAAAGCGAGTTACATGTTGCTTCAATAGCTTTTGCGCTGCCTACGTGCAATGACAACTTTAGTGAAATTGCGAAATATTTTAAATAGATTGCGATATTAAAAAACTTTAAAAAAATTGTGAAATAGTTTAAATAGGAATATAAATATTTATAGCCTGATTTTAACGCTGGTGTGCATAATTGAAAATTTATTACATACATTTGGTCGCTTTAAGTATCTGTAAAATGTACAATATTCAATACAATGCGTTGCAATGCATTGCAATGCATTGCAATGCAATGGAATGTGAAATGTATGCATGTTATTTGGACAAAGCAATTTCATACGACACAAATAAATTTTAAAATATCTGAAGCCACATTAATTTCAGATATTTTATACGCTCAATAAAACGATTTGTTCCAAGCACGCACGTAATGAATATGTCATTGTAAAGCATTATCAACGCGAATATTCAAAATTTTTTTATCTCTGTTAATGAATTTGATTTTGAAATAATAATTTGTATTGTCAACTGCATCACATTAAAATATTAATTGTTGTTAAAAAGCCAAAATTAAACTAAAGTTGAAGTATTCCATATGAAATTCAGATTTAACTATCAAACAATATTTAAGAAACTTGATCTGTGCTATTTAATACCGCTAAAAACTAACTGAAAGTGATTAAGTATGATATTTGTAAAATATATCCTCATAAAACCATCTAGCATATAATGCTTTGCCAGATCTTCAGTTGTATATAGTATATATAGTTGTATATAGTTACTATATATTCATTTTTAATTTTAAATTTTACTTTTCGTTTAGCCCCTTAACCCTGTATGATTATTATTATTGAAAAAACGTGATAGTGCACTGCGACCTAAAAGATCTATTGTGCCCCTTAGTCACACTAAAGTGTTTCTCCAAGTCCGATTTCTTTAATGAAAGAACCTATCTTTCCTAGTCCTGGATCCTTATGATCCTTGAAATACCCTCCTAGGTGTCTCTTCTTCTTGTGCATCAGTGTCGGGTACTCCCCAAGCACGTGATATACAGTTTCTCTCTCTTCTCTGCAGTATCTGCAGTCTGAGTTGGATTAAATTCCTAACTTCGATAGGTTATTATACAATCTACAGTGACCCTGTATGTTATAATATATTAAAATTGATATAAAAAGCTAAAATACCTTTAAAATTTTTACCACACAAACAAATTAATACATTCTCAACACCATTTTTTAAAGTTATTAAATTATAGCATGGGAGCTGAACACTGGCTTAGTAAACCCGCTACGTATGCGGGTATTAATATTTATTAAGTACAATTCAGCAATAGTAATTAATTAACAAAAGGTTAAGATTGTACTATTCATATCCAATACAGGAGGTTTTTCAAAAAAAAATTTAATTATAGAACAGATACAGCTATAAAAGTTATTTATTTCCACAATTAAATGTTTAATTTTTCCTCAAGAGAAAATTGAAATTTACCCTTCACATAAACAAAAAAATCCATCTGATCTTTAGAAATAATTATTTTGGTAATTATTTCTTACAACTTCAGTTTACAACTTTAAAAAGCGAAACAATAAAGAACAAAAAGTGCTTGCTAACTGCACTACGCAATAATAAAAAGTGTGAGAAAAAAGTTCCACTGTAACAACGTTTAGTGTAAGAATTTGTGAGCTTAGTAACTTGGTTTAGATTTTTGCCTCTTATACAAAAATGTTCTAAAGCCTGGCTTATCTACTGAAAATGCTGAACCTTTTTTTTAAATTGATTAATCTATATTCTAAATATTATAGTATTTATTTTCTATTCTAATGCACCATTTGGGCAACATTAAGTGTATTTATGGGCTGTCACGTTGCTTGGCATTAATTAATTATAGTTAATATCTTTTTAATAACTTTATTTGAACATTTTTTTAATTGAAATTACTCGAATTACAAGTTATAGTATGTCCTTTTATTGTGGTAACATTATGTATGCAGTGCAATATATCTCACGAATATCGTCTTATTCACTGATAAGTTTCTATTTTAATTAACCAACTTTGAAAGATTTAATTAAACGGACTTACTGCAAGTTGATGATATACTTTCAGTTGCTTGTAATTATGTACTTGTGTTTATAATAAAATACATTGACTAAGTGTGTAATAAATTGCAATTATTTATAATTAAACACCTTTGAATCGAACACTTTGTACTGTGCAGATGAAACAGCGTTCTTGTCAAGGAAAGTGCTGCTCCAGCTTTGTTAAATCAATAACTCAAAAAGTAAATTTAATAAGGAAAAAAGATAATTAAGAATAGATAATAATAAAGAAAATCTCTGTTTGATAAAATGCACTATAATGTGTCTCGGGGTTTAAACACTTAAGTCAATAACATTATTAAACTATTGAATTGATTTTAAGTATATTTAATAGTTCAATAAATATAAAAGTGTACATAAATAGAATTTAAGAGCCTCAATAACAAAACTCCTTAAAATATTTTTTCAAATATATCTTATTATCAAAAGAAAAAAATAGGAAATAGCAAATAGCAAAGTTTAATATTGTTAAATATAGAAAATAACGAATCAACTCATTCATGTATGAAATTTAATTTTGTCATTTTTGTTTCAAACAATTTTCCCATTTTTCGTAGTAACTTTTTTAGTTTTACATCGAAAACAAAAATTGTCATGGCTTAAGTGTAATAGCATAAGTTTTATGGTAGATATAATTGAATTATAGTAGCAACTAAGTGCTACATAGGTTCGCTATTTTTAAGAGTAGTTCTTTAAAGCCTTACAAGTGTATATTTTACATTTTACTAAACAATGTGTTAGTAAGTAATTGAATTTAAGGATTACAACTAAAAGCAAAAGCAAATTTAATGCCAAATAGTTGTATATATGTTAGTATATTTGTGTGTATCTGTGTTTTTAAAACATTTTATATCGATGTAATATTTAAACATAAAACGTTAACTTATTCCTGCACCGCTTGCGCCTCTACACTACACTTAACCACCTTGCAACAACTAGTACTAAATAAAAACTTAAAATTTAAGCCGCTTCTAATACTAACACTGCTACCGCATTATACTGCCCCCTCTCTTACAAACATCCACCATAACTTCAGAACGACTTGCATTGAATTGCAGCAAATTACAGCCCTAAGCTTGCAACTTGTGCTCGCCTAAGCATGTGATTGTATAAATTTTTGCTTTCTAGTCGTACATACGGACACGGCATACATTATCAACACAAACCTGCACGTAGACCCATTCATATAAATGCAATACAAAATTTTGGGAATATTTCGTAAATATATTTTAAACAGTTTTAGTTTTTTCTTTGTAATGAGCGGGTGCAGCTTTAAGCTGCTTTCTAGCTTTAAAGTCACAATGACAACCCAAAAAATAATTCTTCAAATAGACATAATCGAAAGACAAAATTTATATACCTGTTTCTATACTTAAATTTTTAATTTTTAATTCTTGTTAAAAGTAGTATGTACTTTAGATCTTTACACTTAATCTACCTTCGTCCTTGCAGTTACAAAGATTACGGTGAAGGAAACAAGCAGAAAATATCAAAATTCGTCCAAAAAATTGGAGTTTGATACAACCGGCGTTAAATAGCAACAAATTATATATAGTGACTAACATGAAAAAAATTAGATTAAATAAATTTAGTTATAAGCTTGCCTACACGCCCACTTCAACTCCCCAATCCCACCCACTTATAACCATTTTGCATTGCGCCGGCAATCAGCTCCAATTAAATTTATTATTAAATAAGTTATTGAAATGGTAATAACATTAATTAGCATAGACATTAACGTATAAATATATCTAGTATTTAAAAAAGGGAAAAAATGGAAAAAATTTAATTTAATTGTTATAAATAGTGTTTAAATGGATTAATGCTATGCTGCTAAAATTTAATGTAATTAAATTTACTTTTGTGTGTATAGTTTTTATAAAGTTTTAATCTATCAATTGCGTGTAATTCTATATCTAATTAATTAAGCTATCTTAAATAAACAACATACAAACTATGGTAAAAACTTCAATTACAAAATGTAAAATATAATTTAAGCAACTGACTGCAATTATTGCTAAGTACGAAAAGTAACATTGATTGGAGAAATTTTAACAGATCTAAATATCTGATATTGATATGAGCAAAATACTAAAAAAAAACTCTAGTATTAATATGTGCAATAAATATTTCTTTTTAAAAATGAATATAATATACATATATCGAGCTACTTATTATATTTTAATTAAATTTAACATTCTTTCTTATTAGAAGAAACAATGATATACTGCCATGTAAAACAGTGTTTGAACCGCAATTAGTCTTACGATGTAACACAGGAACTTCAACCAATATAATCTTCTATTGTAAGTAAACCTAATATCTAAACTATTTTACAAATAGGATTCAATTTTACTGTTTATTGCTTAAGGGCTTCAATGAGCACTCTCTTAAATTGATAAACCTTTGAATTCTCTTTGTGAATAGGATTCTGAATGGCATCCATACGTCAATGATATCAGTTTGGACTATTGCTGTCATACACAATATTATTTCTATAAATAAAGTCCTCCTAATCATCCTATTTTATGCATGAAATTTTTTTTTAAGTTACTGTATATAAGTTCCCAGTTGAGAGACATGAAGTCATTAGGATGCAATAACTCTCCTTCACGGTTTTATTGCAGATGATCCAATAATCTCCCTTGAATTATTCTGATTTTTATTTAAAATATTTGTTGCTGTTGCTAAAATCTTATGAAAAGCTCCTATATATATAGTTGCCGTACGAGTAATTGTAGTAGTGTTACTGTTAATATTCTTTCGTTACTTCAGTATCTACCTGCCAGATTTTTCACAACAAATACTCTATTCTAAATACTATATTCTATATAGTATATTCCCAATTAAGTTTTGGCCAGTTGTTGAGATTGCAGTATATATTGCTCTATTTTCCAATCTATGTATCTTTAAGCTTCAGCAAACAAAAATTTATTTTACATAAAAACATAAAAGAAAAATTATTTATGTGTCAGTACCTGCAAATATAGAATGAAAACAAGAAAAAAAGAATAAAAAATAAAATTGAGAATA